AAAAGATTACATCAGTACATGTATGAAACGCAAGAGTGCAAAGAGTTTTTTAGTTTCTCGCATAAGGCTCTGTCACCGACGAAAGAATTTCGCATGTGTTAAGTGGCAAAGAATTAGCTACCCGTTTATTTGCCACCAATCTCGTTGTTAGCCTGTTTTCCTTACCTGTGAAAAATTAACGGGACAATAGAGGCTGACGTGATTATAAAAAAAGTATATGTTCTTGGAAATGTACAGTTTGTTTTCCACTGTTATTTTCCTTGGCAAAAGTATCCAAGCGGAACGCGCATTAATTCTCACTTGATGCCGGTCGCGAAACACCTATTATAAAATTAGACTGGAGAACGGGGCCGAATCACCTACAGAATTTTCCATCCTAAATATATAGTATACGTGTACATGTATGTGTACATACATATGTATAGCTGTCTCACCGAGCCAAGCTCCAAATTCTTTCTGATGATCTATTTACAATATCCGTACGCCTATAAATCACGCGACACCTGTTGTTTTTTACTCATCCCTCGACAGAGGGATTGTGTGGATTTATAAGAAAACGGAATGCACAAAAATTAGGAATACTACGTGCAATGAATAAAATTATTATTATCATTACTTTATTAACGAGCATAAGCCCTTTAAAATATAAAAAGTGTGACTTAATATACAGACAACAAATGAGATATAAAAAAATAAATATAAAACATAAAGAAAAGAAGATAAATAATACTAATGATAAACTAAGTAGAATATCAAAAGCTGAATGCAGTTTTAATGATAAAATAAACGTTTATCTGAAGTACATACTTAAACTTATAATTGTTTTATTTTGCATGAACACCTTGTATCTATTCATTTAGCACTTCGAGGTGAAGCTTCTATGCGTTGCCTTTTAAAATCTAACGACCAATTTCATTGGACTTCTCCAATTTCCTTCGTTCCTAGAGTGCTTAGCTTTGAAGCATTTGATTGCTGAACGAACATAGAGACCTCGTACGTTTTGGGTGCGTGTTCCGACCTCGTTACTATGGAACAACGTGTTCTCTATCATTCATATCGACACGCAAAAGAAAGTGTACATACTCGACTTCGAGTGTGTTTCAATTTCAACGGCCAATCGCCTTCCCTAATCCAGTTATTGTCATTTAAGATTGTACGAGGCCATAAATGAGAACAATGACAAAGCATACTAATTTCAACAGTTATTAGATATTATGATTGTCTAGAAATGGATGATTCTTGATTTTTAATGGGTGGCTCAGGACAGACCTAACAATAAGTCTATTAGGATGATTGAAAACAAATGTCATGTGTATATATTATAAAAGGTTTCAGGCATTTTTAGAAAAAATCATTATTCGATGAGATTATACCGATACTTAATAAAATCGAAATTCAAGACGTAATAACTTTAATATTAGCCTTCGAAAATTTCTAAAACTTAGTGCAGTATTCTATTAACGTGATATCTAATAATTATTAAACTGTGGATGCTTTGTCATTGGTTTTATTTAACGACTCATACGAACTTAATTAAAAATGAGTTTGAACAATGAGGGAACGATCGGCTATGAAATCCTTAACTCCGATTCAACTATACATACGCTTGGCTATCTGATGCAAGGTTTAAATCGCTAGTCCTAGTTTCGGGCAACAACGTTTATCTGAAGTACATACTTAAACTTATAATTGTTTTATTTTGCATGAACACCTTGTATCTATTCATTTAGCACTTCGAGGTGAAGCTTCTATGCGTTGCCTTTTAAAATCTAACGACCAATTTCATTGGACTTCTCCAATTTCCTTCGTTCCTAGAGTGCTTAGCTTTGAAGCATTTGATTGCTGAACGAACATAGAGACCTCGTACGTTTTGGGTGCGTGTTCCGACCTCGTTACTATGGAACAACGTGTTCTCTATCATTCATATCGACACGCAAAAGAAAGTGTACATACTCGACTTCGAGTGTGTTTCAATTTCAACGGCCAATCGCCTTCCCTAATCCAGTTATTGTCATTTAAGATTGTACGAGGCCATAAATGAGAACAATGACAAAGCATACTAATTTCAACAGTTATTAGATATTATGATTGTCTAGAAATGGATGATTCTTGATTTTTAATGGGTGGCTCAGGACAGACCTAACAATAAGTCTATTAGGATGATTGAAAACAAATGTCATGTGTATATATTATAAAAGGTTTCAGGCATTTTTAGAAAAAATCATTATTCGATGAGATTATACCGATACTTAATAAAATCGAAATTCAAGACGTAATAACTTTAATATTAGCCTTCGAAAATTTCTAAAACTTAGTGCAGTATTCTATTAACGTGATATCTAATAATTATTAAACTGTGGATGCTTTGTCATTGGTTTTATTTAACGACTCATACGAACTTAATTAAAAATGAGTTTGAACAATGAGGGAACGATCGGCTATGAAATCCTTAACTCCGATTCAACTATACATACGCTTGGCTATCTGATGCAAGGTTTAAATCGCTAGTCCTAGTTTCGGGCAACACATAGAGACGTATCGTCGGCTATTTAGTCTCGGGAGAACAGGTGCATCGGCCTGAAGCACGACGAAAGGGGAAAATTATTGATTTTCGTTTACCCACGGAGCCAGGTTGGTGTCCTGAGCCCGTGAGTCGCTTGGCATCGGACGAGTGGAACGCGGCGGCCCGTCCCTTGGCACGACCGGGACGCCCTGCATTCGAAGACAATGGCCTTAGGTCAGTGAGCCTGGTGCCATCGTGACACCGTCGAATATCGAACGCCCGCTACGAGAACCAGTACCGAACCCACACCGGTTCAACCGGTAACCCTCTTAACTGGGTTATTTCTAGCATTCGTCTCAAGTTCGAACGAGATTAGTATATTGGCCCGACGCGTTTCGAGACGATCGTTCAACCAGCTAAACGCTTACAGTGCTCTTCACTTGTATAGCCAGATTGAAAATTGATACGTGCATCTAAGCTTGCATCAAAGAAAGAAATTTTATTCAAAATTCTTACTAATTAAGGTTGTAGAAACACTTACATAAAAACAATGACAAAGCATTGACATTTTAACAGACATTAGATATTACGTTAATAAAACACTGTACACAATTTTAGAAATTTTGTGAGCTTATTAAAAAAGTTATTACATCTTGAATTGCCATGTTGAATGATAGAATTTTGATTTCATTTATGGAAACGTATGAATGCAACAATGACAGAATTTTGTAATTTTCTAAAATTTCGAGGAATGAAGAAAAACTGTAGGT